ATAGGTCTATTATCATTCAGAATTTGCTTTCTGAGACTTCTCTGAATTAAGTCTTGTGCACATAGTAGTGACTACATCCAGAGAAAGGCAACAAACATAGTGAGGGAACTGGAGCACAGGTCTTATGAGGAACACCTGAGGGAACTGGGATTGTTTAATCAGGAGAAGAGGAGGGTCAGTGGAGTCCTTATTGACTTCTATAACTGCCTGAAAGGAGGTTCTGGTGAGGTGAGAGTCAGCTTCTTCTCCCAGGTAAGTAGTGATAGGATGAGAGGGAATGGCCAGAAATGGAGTCAGGGGAGGTTCAAGTTGGATATTAGGGAAAAAAATAAATAAATAAATAAAATGAGAAAGGATGGTCAGGTGCTGGAATGGGCTGCTCAGGGAGGTGATGGTGGGGTCACTGTCCATGGAGGTGTTCAAGACATGTTTGGATCTTGTACTAAGGGACATAGAAATATTGGTGGTAGGTGGACAGTTGGACTGGATAATCTTAGAGGTCATTTCCAACCTTAATTTATGATTCTATGACTCCAAAGGATGTGTGGCTGTCCTCTCTAGCAGAAAAGATGACCTTTCCTGAGCTTGGTGAAGTGACTCATGTTCCATGACTTTCTCTGATTGAGGATTATTGCATTAGGAATGGCATTCATCATTTTGCTATTCCTATGGCATTTCTTTGCTCAGGTTGCTTAGATTAATAGCAGTTCAATCTAGGTCAACATCAAAATTCTTGCTGGAGCATCATTTATACTCTATTTTATTATTCTCAGTAAATACTCTTGGTAATCATATTTAACTCATCATTTGCATTTCATGAGTTTCTAAGCCTGACAGTTTGGGAGACAGAGTGAATAGGATCTGTATTTCTTAGTTATCATGCTTTAACATTGTCCATACTTGCTGCTGGTTCACTTTACTTTTTACAAATGGGGTAAATGAAATCTCAACATACAAAAGCATTTGCATGGGTAAATTCAACTTTTAGGATTTTGCATAGAGGCTCTCCCTTTGTAGCTCTCTTTATGGGTTAAGTAAGTAACTCAAAACTGTACTTGAGTCTATATAACAGTCTGAATTGGTTATTCTTGGAAAAAAAAAAAAAAAACAAAACCAAGATCCAAGAAAAATCTAATTTTCTGTACTTTCATATTGTATGGGAAAGAGAAGCATTGCAAATGTGTCTCTGTGCAAACTCTCTTACTAAATAAATGTATTTTTTTTGAGAGCATCAGAGGAATTAATTCCTTGGGAAAAAAATAGGAAACGTAGTAGCATATCTCTTTCCTATCACTGAATGTTCTTATCAGATTTCTAAACAATTACCTCTGAGTACTAATAAGTGTTTTCCAGGCAAACGCATAGAAGGGTGCTAGATTTAAATGTCTAATAAGCATATGACAATGTAAGAGTACCAAACAGGGTTAAGCACCCTGAATGGAAGACTAACACATAGCTTAAAAAGAAAATGCAAACCAGTAAGCACAGATTTATTGAAACACTGGTCTTAGCCTTTGTATTACTGCTCACATTCAATTGTGTTATTAAATACACACTATCAAGCCAGGCTTCCTCCAAAGCCATCAGTGAAATGTTGGGGAGGGAAAGAAGACAGGGAGAGACCTTCTGCCCCAGTCTACTGCTGCTAAAATGAGATGACTGACTAGCATTGTTTTCTTGAATGCTGAAGTACAGAATTCTCTTCTAACTGCTGAGCTTTAAATTAAAAAGAGAAAATTCTTCATGGTGAACTCTGCATCTGATAAGGATGTCTGTGCTGCAGTCCTGTAGAGCAACACCTACTACCCTCCCTTTTTTCCCTGACCTTCATGTTCGTCCATGTTTTGAAGCTGCAGGGAGTGAAGCAACTACTGGCATTGCTCTTTCCTTGCTCTGCAACAAATTCTCAGAAGACAGTCCGATAGACCCCATAGAAGGGGTTAAAGTTCTCTCTGTTTTGCTCTTGGTTACTAACCTTTCAGCCAAGGGGGAATTGTTCTTCTTTCTCAGAAGTCCTTCAATCTCTTTGCATTACTTTTGGTGCTGTATAACATTTTAAAAGCTCCCTGACTGACAGACATGGCCGGAGGCAGAGCTCTGTTGGGAGAACCATAATGCACAGATCTTCCTCAGTAAAGAACTAAATTGAATACAATGTGATTTCGGGGTGTGTGAGGCAGTGCAGGCTTTCCCACTTTTTTATCTTGTTTATTTTGAGCTTCCATCCATGTCTGAGCAATTCAAGAGGATGATTTGAGTGTTTTTTTTGTTTGTTTGTTTTTTTCCCAATCTTGCACAGCTACTCTGATTTTGCCATAAATGCCAGGCAAGCACCCTGCAATCATGGAACTAGAGAACAATGGGAGTTTGAAGCTTTTTGAATTGAATTATGGATGAACACAATCTGAACGTGATTTTGTGTGCTGTCGAATGCATTGAAGAGAAAAGCACAAAAAGTAATATGAATTGTTAAATAAAGTTGTTAATAAAAATAGAAATACATTCTAAATATTAATATATTTTCCCCCTCCCCCCCCCAGAGTCTTAAGTTTCTGTCTTGAAGATTCATTTGCTGAAATAAAATTCATTGAAAAAAAAATTGAAATGCAAATTAAAATTATTTTGTTGTTGTAGAGAAGTATCATGGGCAAATAGGAGCTCTTTCACTTTTGATACTTTCTGAAGGTAGAATTCAAATACTCAAAAAATGCAGCCTTTCTAATCAGAACAGAAGTGTAGAATAGGAGCTGCAATTATTTTTCTAGGGATTTTTGTTTGATTTTCTTCAAAACTCAATAGGTTTTTTTTGGTCTTCCAATTATAAATCCTTTCTATTTAGGTACTTCAGTATGTAGGTAACAAACATTTCTATGTTAGTTATTGCTATGCATAGTAATAATATTATGCATAAGGAAAACATAACCTTTGGCCGTGTTTGAAAATGAGAATATATATGCTTAGATACTTTACCATGTCTTCTTTCCTGAGGTCCATATCATGTCATTGATTTTTAAGCAGAATTCTATTGATTTGGGAGAAACTTCTGCTTAAAAATCAATGACACAGTATGGCTGAAGGCAAGTGGTAAATTCCATAGTGGTATAAATTGTATTTTTTGTTCTTAAAATGTACAATGCATCCATCTTAAATCCTAGAAGCAGTATTTGTTGTACCTGACAAACAGTAGGCCAGATAGCAGGCTGGTATTTCATTAATAGTATGCAGCTCTTAATGAGACAGGATTATAATTCATTCTTACGTCCTCAGCCCACACTGAAATTTAAAATTTGTTAGCATATGACTGTGGTTTATAGAAATGTTAGTTGTCAGAAAACAGATAATGCAACATATAGCTTTCCAGTCATTCAGCCTCAATGAAAAAGAACCATGGCATGGAAAGTATTTGTTAGATGTCCTGAACATTATGAAAATACACAAGAGTACACAAGATTTAACACCTTAATCGGGGACAGCATGGATATGGTTAACTTCATGAAAGCCATGCTCTATTAATGGAAACTGATAGCTTGAAAGGGTGGGAAGAGTAAACACAAAAGAATTTGCATTGCCTCAATACTTACTGATGTTCACTTTACTGTAAATGTGTGTGGGCTACGGCTTATTGGCTAATTCTAAATTCTAGAATAGCTCCATTTGTTTCAGCATGAAATCTGTAGATTTATAAGTCTTTGCACTGTATTTATTGTAGGCTGTGCCACAGCATTTTTAGATGGCATGAGTACTCATTTTCACAATTTTTTATTGCTGCTGAATTTGGTGCAAAGTTGCAAATGACAGCTAGAGTTTCATTTAATATATTCTACAATCCATAATATTTAAATATTTACATTCTTTAGTACTGTTATTTTATTAACTTCAGACAATGAATCAAATATTTCATAAATACTAAAAGAAAGCACCTCTGTTAATTATACTGTGGGTAGAAAACACAGTATTTTTTATTATCTATCTTTCTGTTGAAGTGGTCTGTGGTGATATAAACAGAGCAATATGAGAGCAAAAACAATTACTTCAAGTCCTTCCAGAGCGCTTTTTTTTTTTTTTTTTTTTTTTTTTTTTTTCCCCCCTACTATGCTGATGGCATTTGGCTGCTACAAGAATCACTACAGTTTTAATTGTCACCTTGATGTGATGGTTCTCTCTAAGCCCTGTAGTTCGTTAGTGCTGATTTATTTTTAATCTGTGTACCTGGCATTTGTCAGTATAAATGAATGTCAGTGTCTTATCTTACTGGCTCCTGTGTTGTTTCATTTTCTACATTGACTGCAGTTCTATCATTTGCTTCCATAGATCAAGACTGTGTTTTTTTTAATGCATTTTACAGTATTGCTGAAGAGCAACATAGTTACCATTTTTATACAAGCTTTGTGAGAAGAGAACGTCTGTCACAGACAGCATATTGTGCGTTGACAGCTCTGTGGTGTTTAGCTGTATGGACACTGTTTCCCACTTTTTCAGTTTTCACAAAGTTCATACAGATCTGCCTTCCAGGGTCAATAGTTTAATATAAGCTTTGTCCATATCCATCCGTAGTCACAGAAGGAGGATATGTCCAAGGTGCCATTCTGGCAAAGACAAAAAACAAAGCATTCCTGCTCTTGAGAGTGGAAGAGTGGGTCCTCTCTTGCCCAGTGTTTTATGTCTGTATCCCGAGTAAATGCATCACCGATGGGTGAAAGTTTTGTGAGATAACAGGGTCATAAAGCAGAGGGTATGGATCTGTCCTCAGCTAGACACAAACATAATGGCAAGCAGGGCAAGAATGATCTATTCCTGTGCTAACTGCACCATATTCCAGAACAGCTCGGTACTACTACAATCGAAACAGTAATTGCTTTTAAAACTGTGATTCCTAATCTTTTCTTTCTCTCTAGAAACTAACTAGGTGTGAGAATTTTGATGAACACTTCAATGTAATTTTATGTAATTTGATGTTGCCATGTAAATCTCTTTTATAGGTCCCTTTAGATGGAATTTAATGCGGCAAAAACCTTGTCATCAGAAGGATTAATGCCTGCATTAGCATTTCCGCAATAAAATCAGAAGCTAAGTGGTGGAGGCCACAGACACCTCAAACCTGGATTACTCTGCTCTGCATTAAGTGCTGGAGTTTTTATTACTTGCTGTAGGGAAGCCGTTGCCAATGCTTACAAGGAACTGCTTATCCCTGCTTCTCTGGGTCCTGTTTGATGGAGGTCTCCTAACGCCACTGCATCCACAGCCACAACAGACTTTAGAAGCAGAGCCAAGAGAAAATGTTGTCCCAGTGCCAGGGAGGAGGTCATCTGCCCAGCGAGTCAAACGAGGCTGGGTGTGGAATCAATTTTTTGTGCTGGAGGAGTACATGGGCTCCGAACCTCAGTATGTGGGAAAGGTAATTTTTTACTGTTTTTTTTTTTTAAGTTGAAATGACGCAGACAAAGAGTGCAATGTGCTGTAAACATGTACCTGTTTCTGATGGGGCAGATTTTCAGCTGACAATAGCTCCCTCTGTCCATCCCCTTCAACGTTCAACCTCTCATACAGCTGCATTAGTCATGATTGCTATTTTTAGTGCACAGGTTTAAAACATTTACTTTCTTCCTTTATATGTTTGTCTTATTTCCTGGTCCTTGATTTTAGGATAAAACTAAAATCTGGGAGTTTTGAGATTAGTTTGTGTTGCAAAAAACATAGCTTTTTTTAACTTTACATGATTTTTAACAGTGAATGTTAGTCTGACATCAGGGAAAAGATTTAAACCTAGGAGTCTCTAGCCCAGGATGTACAGTCATTTCTGTGGTTGGTATTATTACTCCAAATTGGTTTTCAGTATCCCTTGCTTTTCTTTCTGATTGTTCGCAAATTATTTCTAATGTGATTTATTGCTTCATAATTGAAAGTCTTGCATTTAGCTTTTATACTCTGTGTGTAAGCACACAAGCGTGCAGAGAATTTATGCAGTTCTCTTTCATTATGTGACTACTGTTTCCATAATAGGACCTCAGTAGCTGGTTGTTTGAGGGGTGTCAGGGTGAATTTGGATAATAGAGTTTTCAGAAAAGATGGCTTAAAATTAGACCTGAGAAGAATAGGAGCTCAGTATATAACTGCACGCTATGCATAATTTTCAGTTTATGTAAAGGCTATTATTCAATGAAAATAAGAGGGCAAGGATTAATTTCCTGGGTCCCTAAATGCCACTTCCCTAGACAGCAAGGTTCAGATTCCAAAAACATGGCGTGTCACCTTTCAGTTTTAACTTTAATACTGTGTTGTTTGTTTGTTTGTTTGTTTGTTTATAGTGTAGAAGCTATGAATTATGATGTTTTGTTTGTTTGTTTGTTTCTAAATATAAATGAAATTCACAAAAAAGTTAATTTTCCCTTCTTCCCTTCCAGAAAGCTATTACAAATAATGAGTGTATAAACAGAGCGGTGTAAGGCTACATTTGGCTCATTAGGTGCTTGGAAAAAACAGACAAGAATATTCTTGAATATTACAGATGTAGGCACCAGTGTTAAGCACTAGAATATATTAGGCAGAAATATTTGCAGTAAGACAGTATGTTTATATTGCAAACATAATATGATGAGTTTCATTTACAAGCTGAAAACAGTCTGATCCCATCATGAAAAATTGCATCTTTGTAACGTCCGATTACTACCAGTTGTCCTTTCTCTAACACCTTTTTTTCTTTCTGGCCACCTACTAAAGAGGCAGACGAGGACTCTAATCACAGTTGACGCAGTAGCACAGGCAACGTGATTGCTCTGCTTTTTACCTCTGAAGACAGAGATGCTAACGCTGCATCACTGTAATTCATTAGTTTTTATCCTTTTATGTAAGATAGCCTGGGTAGTCATTTAGGGTCAGCCCTGAGCAGCCAAAATAATATTATTCTTGCATAAAATTGACTATTATCAATACATTTGAATTTGAGCTTGTAAGCAGCTTTAAAATTAATAGGATATTTCCATTAAAAGTAATGCTTATCGCATCACAGATTTACTTGGTATGTTTGTAGCTCATAAGACTTTTTAAAAACTGTTTCAACTTGCTGAAAATATTTTTCAAACATAACGTTAAGTCAAATTGTACTGTAGCACAAATAATAGCGATGTTTCTTGAAAGGTTATCATATGCCAGAAGGAAATATTCTGCTATTAAATAGTAAAGAAAATAAAATATAGGAGGATCTTAGTGGTGAAACAACTAAACAAAAAAACAACAAAAAGTGTGCTCGATTAGTCCATCAATAAGCTTGTCAGAAAATCTATTTTTATTCAATATATTCCGGATTATCATCTTTTGAAACAATATTATCTGTCAAGCATTCATTTGATGTTTAATCTAGCATATTTTATGTATATTAAATATTTGCTTCAGTCTACTTGAAAAGGAATTTGCCAATTATTTGATGTCTTCTTTACTTGATCTCTTGTGGTGAAACAAACAGAAGGAAAACAAGGTGATGGAAATGTTACCATTCCCCTCT